CGAACCAGTGGTCTCGACCTTTTGCTCGAGTTATACACAAAAGATATTCTTAATGAGGACTACTCTCCGGCCCTTTCTTTGTATAACATAACGGTCAGCAATAAAGTGGCCGGAATTGGCTTCTTGACCAATGGTGCGCCCCCTAAGCCTAAGTTGCATCTCAACCAAATCAACAACAATGTGGTATTATCATGATCAATCAACAAAAAACAAGTTTTAGTTTCTTATAATGTTGTATATAAAAGTACGACAGAATTGCACTGGACTTCGGCACAGTTGCCAACAACGGCGCCGACGGCAACAAAATGTCGGTATTCTTTTCGGTAGCTTTGGTCAGGAAAAGCAATATGACTGCTGGCAGTAAACACTTCGTTACGGTCGGCGCTGAGTATAATCAGGGGTCTTATGTATGGGTCGGTGTCTCGCAAGTGACCGCAGAGACAATACCAGCGGTAAGTTAAAAGGGCTTTAAAAATTGGCACATGATTTATAAGTAAATTGTTTTACTTATTGTAACGATCATACAATAGGCTGAAGACCAAAAATTAGCAGATGTTAATGTAAAAGGCGTTCCGACGATAGCACTCGACAGTGCGCTCACATTTACCGCCGAAGCCTTATTGGAGTTTCGTTCAGACAATATAATACTGGAGATGTGGGGGCCGTCGCACGCGTATGAGCCCAACAACGTTATAGCGATGGGACAAATCGGTGTGAATGAGTTTGGCTTAAACTACCAGTCGGTGCCAAATCAACCGCAACACTATCTCACTAAACGGATTGAAAGCCAATCGAGGCTTTCGTATCAAAAAGCAATTCTTGATATGGGGCTCATCACCAATACGGGCGAAAAGGTAGGCAAACCCTCGGCTGACAGTAATAACAAACTGGTCTTTACACTCACTGTTTACGCGACCAATAATAAAGAAAATGTTGGCAAAGAAGTGCCCATTAATATGCAAATAACTATTGGAAACAATACGGTTTGGAAACAGACTTTTGATGTAAAAGTTACCGAAAGAAAGCTCGAGAAATCTGTGGCACGAATGTTGGTCTCAAATGCAAATTACTATCCATTAATGGGATATCAGGGAAATCTAATAACACTCACATTAAATACTGAATTCAGTGAATCCAATACTTTCACTGACTTTTCAGTGGTGGTCGAAGTGCCGACCGCTAGAAAACTGGCACTTCTGGAGCCCTGTTCTGCCAGACTTGTCAAAGAAGAGACCGGTATTAACATCCCTTACGTCGACTCCAGACAAATAGAGCCCACACTTGAAGGCAATCAATATATTTTCAATTTCGGGAGAATTCAACTCATAAAACAACGCTCGCCGTCGAAGAAGAATGAGAACACTTTAGTCACACAAATCATCCTTAAGATCGCCTTTCATGAAGAAAACATTGAAGGTATCACTCGTTTTAGAATTATATCCAAATAATTGTCTAATATTTGTCTAATTTGTAGGCAAAGCCTTATCGGCAAACGTTAAGACAATTAGTGGCGTAAAATCAATTAAAGTAAAGTCAGAGGACATTAAAATTATTGCTGAGAAGAAGTCAGCGCTTCCGGAGATTGGTGTTAGAAAAGTGGTTCCTTGGGATGAGCTGTATGTCGACGGCGCGATGTCTGTCAATATAGACATGCAATTGCCGACCAGTGCTGCCTATGAAGGCGTTAAACTGGAAGTTCACGGAAACAACGAGACGGCACTTAATTTGCCCGAAATAAGTATATGTCGTCTGGAAGTGACACAAGTCGGACAATCGATGCCCTGTTCTTGTGTTGGCATTGAAAACACTAACAAAAACAAAGTTTCGTACGAAAAACATAACAATAAGAACACAACTCTTTACGATTACTCTGCCATAAGTGTTGGCGATCTGTCCGTCCGATCGACACCATCGCCACAATCGGAGCGAAATTATAACTTGAATTTTGTGGCCACTATTTTGGACGGAAGTTACGTTCAAACGGGCGTTAATTATCCGTTTTATGTCGGCCTCACTATTGGCGCGGATCTCATTTGGTCCACAAATATGACATTTCCCATGAAATTAGAGGCGCCGCAGGATATGCCGTCCGGAATGACACCAAAATTAGTGTCCCATTTGAAGGACAAATCGCCAATTAATCCGGGATTTACCACCGAAGCTATCATTAGACTGGAAACACCCGTTCATACGGTAACCAATTATTCGCTGGAAGTGTATCCCATAGACGAAGACGTGTCCATTTGTGGCGTTTGGATCACACATATCGGTCGGAATATGCCGTGTCTTAATCCAGACATTAAAGCCGATTATGAAATGACACGAATCGGCGAGAATAACAAAGCGGTCATGAATTTCAAAAATGTGGCCAATACTGGACCTAATTATCTGATGTCACCGGAAGATGAGATCAAAGCCAATACCATTGAATTGACGGCAATGTTTAGAGTGCGCGGAAGCGCTATAAGCAATAAAAACATCCAATTTATTGCTAAATATGGACAAAACGAGTTGTCTGTAAAAAGCAAACTCGAAATACCAGTCCTTAAAAGTTCGTCTAAAAGTATCAAAGAATTCAAATCTCCGAAAGTGTTTACATTCGATACGAGTGACGGGTCGAGGATTGCAGGCGTCGGCACATCATCTCTGCTAACGTTTGATATGGAGTTGGAGGCCAACAGTCAGGCGCCCATTAGAGCCGAACTCATCGGTAGTAAAGAGTTTGAGATTTGCGACGCGAATGTCATCAAAATTGGGTCCAATTATCCGTGTTTTTCGCCCTTTGATCTCAAGAAACGCGATTCGGTTTTTGATTTGGGAATGATTTGCAACACATTTCTTAATAGGGATGACATCCATGAAAATAGGGTTCGTTTGGCAGTTGCCGTCAGATTTCACGATAACTTGAAGGTCGGCCAAAACGTGAGACTCGTTGGACAGGGATTTGTTGGCAATTCATCGATAGGAAAGCGACAAAACGTTGATTTAGTGGTCGCTAAAGACGGCGAACAGACCTTATCTTTAATAAGCGACGCGAAGATTGCGCCCAAAAATATGACTCCATTCGCGGCAAAGATCAGGAATAAGGTATGGATTGCATTCAATCTGACAATTCCGCCAAAATCTACTCTCAAAGTTGGCGTTGAAGTGCGCGGAGCTGTCGAAGAGAATCGGGCGGTCATTACAGTGCATGGCTTAAGAATCAGATCTGGAGGAGTAAACATTGCGTGTCCGATGGCTAACGCGAATCCTGTGCTTAAATTTGAGTCGAGTGTTGAGAACAGCCAACACGACATCGTAAGCGCCGATTTGGGATTTCTGTCCAATTTTGGATTCAGTCACGCGTTTGGCAGCGCTTTGCCCGGAGATGACGACATCACTGTTGAAGTATTGGCTCAATTCACTGACCATCCGATTACTGATGAAAATTCTGATCACATCATCAAAATGACAGCCATTTTTGGCGATTCTTCAGACGCTCACAGAATAAGTGCCGCAAAATATATGCGAGTTTTAAGGACTCATTCCGAGCGACCGATCATTGAGACGGAAATAATAATAAATAATTCAACGATTTATGACCGAAAGCAAGTGATAGATGCGGTCGCTATCATAAAGCACTCAAACGCGTCGACTGGAGAACCGGCCAATCCATCCCTTCGTCTCTTTCTTCCTCCGTATATAAAGTTTGGAAGAATTCTTTCATTCAATACAAAAGATCAGCCGATTGTTCAAAACAACACAATCGGCGCTACCGTTGATATTGTGGTACGAAATATGTTATATTTTATTTAACAAATCAACATTTCATAAAATAATACACATTTTATTTCACTGTTTAGTTACAATGGATTTTGTTTCCGGACGTATTTGTGGTAAATTTCACTCTTATTGTGGATCCGGAGAATCAAAGAGGGTATGGAAAGAATGAAACATATGTTTCGACGCCTTATAGAATGCTCTGCGAGCACTTCCGAGTGTCGGTGTCTTCAAAGTTCCCGTGCAGTCAACTCAAAGACTTTATATTTAGAGCCAAGAGTTCGGGTATGTATTGGTTTTCACCATTTAAAAAATACATAGATATTAATTGGTTATATGTAGTAATAAAAAGGTTATTTTAAAAATACTTGTAAAATTCTATCTATAAATAGCAGAAATGATTGTAAGAAATGATAACTTTTTATAAGAAAAAAATTCACATTATATGAAGCACTTTACAAACCATAAAATTTGGTCATAAATATTGATCTCAATAAATTTTTAAGAAATATGACTTTTATAAAAAACAAAAGTTACAAAAATATAACTTTTTCTTGTTTTTGCGGCGAAGAGTGCGATAATGCGTTAGGAATGGGAAACGGATTAATAAAAGATTGTCAGATAAGCGGTTCGTCGGCGGTTAGCGCTAACTATGCGCCACATTTCGGTCGATATAATTCAGGCAACTTTTGGGCGCCTTCTATAAGGTTTTGGTCTCAGCGACAGTACCTTCAGGTGGACTTCTTGAGGAAGACTCGCGTCACGAAAGTAGTGGTTCAGTCCCTGAGAGGCAACCGAAAAGTGATGGCCTATACATTGCAGGCCAGCGATAATAACAAGATTTGGTTTAGCGTTAACGACGTCTCGTATTTAAGTTATTCCGAAGGCTTTGCCACTGATTTCATTCAACGACCACAAGAGGCCCGATATTATCGATTTCTCATCGAAGAGGCGTCTGATACTAACCGCGAAAACGATCAGTTCATTGCCGTAAGGCTTGAATTTTTTGGCTGCTATTTGGAAGGCGACGACACGACCAGTAATTTATTTATCATTTTTACAATTTATAAAGAGTTTATATATTTTTAAAATAATTTTTAAGACATGACGTGTACTGACAAACCAAACACATGGTTCTCCGACGCCAGCGATCGACTCAATCGACACGTTTCAGCCGATCCTTACAATCATGTCGTCTATTTCTGTGATTCAACATCTGATATGAAGTAAACAATTTTAATTAATGTTAATATTATATAATAATGAATGCGTTAAATGTAGTCAACAGGTTTGCTATTACACCAACTCCGGGGGCAGCACTTGGAATATAATCGGCCGATCGATTGACACCATTGAAGGCTACGATCTGGTGTCGGGAAAGATGTTCGCAATCGATTCCGAGAGACCTTCTTATCTGAGTACTAAAGATGGCTTGAGATGGACCCCAGAATCTTACGAGACATTCAACCAGACTGTGTCTCATCACAAATTTCAACATAAAATAATAGTACCAGGGTTGAACAAGGAAGGCATCCGACGCATGAATATCAAAGGCGAAAACTGGAAGGGTTTGTCACAAACATTAATACAATCTAATATTAGTTAGTTATTTGCATAAAACTTAATATTTTCTCAATTTATCTCAATAGCACTTCACGACGGCTTATACTTCGAGGACAGCGCTGTTCCCAAAGCCTATTGGAATAAATGCTGCAAAATTTGAATCAATATATTCTCGGAAACTGTTGACAAATTTTGTCTTTTATTCCTCATATCGTTTTCAACAAACAAATTATAATTATTTTTCTGCTATAAAAGCGTATATTATTTTGTCATAAGATTTGTTAATTAGATAACAGTTTCACGTGTTATAAATTTTAAATATAATGTTTTGTATAGAAAATAGAGATTTTTTTGCTGTTTTTAAATTAATGTGTTTTATTATATTTGGCACATATTCTCAAGTCTTGACTAATTTTAAAAATAAATAATATTTTGATAAACATTAAAATTGTTACTTTAAATATCTTTATTAAATATAATGTATAATTTCTAAAATATTATATAAAACACTTATAAAGCATTGTTTCATTGAGAACTGATTTTTATTAAATTCTAATTATATCTTAGTTTATAGGAAATAAAGTCAAAATAATTTCAGCTGAACTTAAATTGTGATAATTTCATCAAAAAAGAAAACTACTTTTTAATTTCAGAAACGGTTGGTTTGGATCGGTTTTGTTGATCGGTTGCCAAACTCTGATTGAATTGATCGGTTCGTTTGAAACACTCAAAGTAAGACATTATAAGTAATAATAATATGATTGCAATCGAGAAGAATAGGAGTGAACCAAATGTAAAAGCCAAGAGTTGCCACACTTGCAGATCATCTGTTAAGACATTCATTTGAATTGATTTTTGTTATCATATGATTCACAACAATAGTGTTTGTATTAACCGTTGAATAAATTAAACTATAATTTTTTTGATATAACTATAAATATAACGGATAAACATAATAATGCATTTATTATGCGTGAACTGCAGTTAGAAACTGATAATAATGTATAATAATACACTGTGAATATAATAATATAATAATAATACTGTAGTGAATTAGAGTATAGACTGCGAAGAATTTATATTATTATATTGTTGTAGGGATTGAAGAATATTCCATACATTATATAAATTGCTTTGATATAACAATTTTAACACACTATTAATTGAATCCAATTTAGTTATAATTATAATGAGATTATGCTACTTTACATAAAATATGATGTAAACAGTATTAATAAATTGTATTATAACTCGAATAAATTTCGTATAAATTAATTAAGAATAATTAAAAAGCAAAATTTAAAAATAATTTGTTTTTAAGAATAACTTATCTATTTTGCCTTTAATTAAAAATTTTAATAAAGATTATAGCTATTGTTGATTGATGACCATATTATTTATGAAACTTTAATTATTTTTAGAATTTTAATTTATAAATGTACTTGATAATATGTTTTTAATCTATACAATTTAATCTATTTAATCTAACAAATACAAAATTAATTAATTTTGCAGATTAAGAATACAAATCCAATTATTGTATTTAACAAAAATATCTTTATTTATATATAACTTACAAATATTTATATATAATTGAGTTTTAGTTATTCACAAACATTGAATGAAATGTTAACCAATAATTTAAAGAATCATATGTTTTGATGTTTCTTTGAGATGAAAAACATTTATTATGGAAAACAATAAAATTGAGAACAATTCACATGAAAAGCAATCTTATAAATGAACATTAATTGTGAAATATATTATTACTTTTTAGGCCATTAGTGTAATTAGCATTGATGTGAATACTATGGCAACTTTTATTTTTGTTAGTTGCTGTAAAATGAGCATGTTACAATTGTTTTTATACTGTATTAAGTACTGTACAGGTCTAGCAATAAAAGCCTTTTTATAATGATTTATACTGTATAATGTATTTCCATTTAAGTGTTCATTTAATTAATTCATTATTGCCTATCATTTGTTTCAATAGAAAGTTATTTATTATTAATGACTTAATATACGAATTAAACCACAAAATGAGATGCCATTAGTTGTTAGGAAGTCTTTAATTTATTATTTTTGAAAACATATTTATCACATTAAATGAATCGACAATAAATCGATCGATCCATTTATGATTCACTCAATAATGTGTTACTTGACTTAATTCAATCACGATCAAATACACGAATAAATAATATACCTAATTATGTTAATTTAGTGATGATATATATTCATACATGAGTTACGGGAACGGCTAAAAAGTTGCCACAATTGTTGTTGGATTGATCTTTGATGGTAGGCGTCGAGCAAAGAGAGGTGACGGTAAGCATTGACGGCGAATGGCATGAATTCTTAGGCAATTCCAAGAGATTAGTACACGAAGACGAGTACTTGGGTTTGCATTCCTCCGCATTCTGTTGAGCGTTACGTCTTATAGAGGAGGAAGAGTTAAAGCTAGGGCTCGAACGACGCACAGAACCGTTGCTCATATATCCAGAACCCGATCGATAGAGTTTGAATGAATTGGCGTTTCCGGCAATTACTGTCGAGTAAGTGAGGTCTGGTATTGGGTGTCGGTTCAGACACGGCAGCCATCGGCCAAACGTGTCCTTAAACGCGGTTCTATACTTCCGGGACAATAATTGATACAGAATTGGATTAATAGTTGAACTCAAATAATATGTAACTCCGGAAATGTGAGTGAGTATTGTGTAGACACTTATGATGAGAGGCGTCCGCACGTTATTGCGGACTATGTTTACGGCTAACACTCTTTGCGCGTGAAATGGAGAGTAACAGAAGACAAACGATATGACCACTGCCACTGAAATACAGCATATTAGCAATTAATTAACACATTCATCATTAAACTCATTAAATAACATGGTGACACTATTATAATATATGATTATTTGAACTAAATAAAGCATTTCAATGTTTTGACTGACTTTATGGCAAGTTCAATCGCTTTTATTAGTCTGTAAAAATAAAATAATAAAAGTTAATATTATAAATATTTAACTTGGTCATAAAAATTGGAGTAAAAACACTGTTTTGCTCATTATAGCCAGAGATATAGCAAAAGCTATAGAAAAGTTGTATTCTCATGGGATACCAGAAACTTGTGATATCAATACAATCACAACACTATTATTCGGTAAAATATTAACAAAAATGGCATCAAAACTGTTGTTATTGTATGTCTTAACGAATCATTATTTCATTCTTTCAATTATATGAGAAGATTTGACATCATTTTCGGAACCATTACTTAATTACACATTTCGATAGATGCCGTCAATTAACGCTTTCCTATCTATAAACCATTTCGCGATCTCTTAGCAAAAATTATTCTTATATACCAAAAGCCATATTAATATAGTTTTAAGAATTTGGATTTACTAGTTATAACATTAAATATAACGTCATCTCCAATATGAATAATGTTGCAAATATACTCATTTAATTAAATGCATGTTACAAATATACATGTATCAGTTATTTGTCTCATATTTGAAATTACTGTATTTATGTTGACATTTACTTTAAGGTTTAATGAGACAAACAAAAAGCAAATACAATAATCAAATGAACACTTAAATGGAAATACATTATACATTATATGTACAGTATAAATCATTATAAAAAGGCTTTTATTGCTAGACCTGTACAGTAATCAAGAAGCCAATTCCGGCCACTTTATTGCTGACCGTTATGTTATACAAAGAAAGGGCCGGAGAGTAGTCCTCATTAAGAATATCTTTTGTGTATAACTCGAGCAAAAGGTCGAGACCACTGGTTCGCGGCAAAGAGACGTCCAGTCTATACTGTATTGTATTTCCAATTGTCAATCCATTGGTATCTCCCGAAAGAACTCTCAGAGCGAAAGTTGTCTGAAAGTTTGCGATTTGTCTCGAAAGGGGCTCTTTATTAGTACTCATTAAAGCCTCTTTTGTCTCCTTTTCCTCTTTAGCCTCTCTTCTGATTCGATTCAATTGTGTTTGGATTATAACAGTTAAGTGCAATTCAGATGCCCTAACATTTGTCTTATTGTTTGCTGATTTGCCACTAATTATGAGAGAATATCTGTGATCATTGACAATATTTTCCGGTTGTGTAATATATAATTCTCCGGATTTAGGATTAATTGCGAATAATTTGCCAGAATTCACATCTTTAAGACTGTATGAAATTTGAGCGCAAATACACTGTTTGTGTGATTGACCACAAGTCAAATCATAATCCAAATCCTGTGCTTTTGCCACAAAAATTGGCTTTTCTTTCGCAATATGATCTCGATTTATATAAATACTCTTTTCGTTGCTTTCAAATTGTGGCAAATGATTGTCCACTGCAATAAAACACCATATTTTCCATTAGCTTTATTCAGATTTGTTTCATTAATTGTTGGTATTTATAGAAAATAAAACCCTAACCTTCAATAAAAGGCTTATCTCATCAAAAATTAAATTATTTACACGAATAGAGCTTTACGTCAATTGTTTATTAAATATTAATAATATATGATTTTGGTTTTATTTAGTTTTTTATGCATTATTAATTAGGATTACTGTATACTATACAGTGTAAAGTATAGTGTATAGTATAGCAACCAATTGAAAGCAAACATGTTTTTCTGATATAAATCATTTATTGACCAAAAATTGATTTGTTATATTTGTATATAATTAGAAATAAAGCTAAACGTTTATATTAAACATTTGTATTAAAGTTCATAATTTAAAGAATATTCTGGCACTCCATTATTAAGGTTTTTATCTTTCATAAACATATTTATTTGTTAAATGTTTTAAAATCTATCTTATATTGTAAATTATTACACACAATAGCTTAACCTTTTTTATTCAAATTATATATGAGTGATAACTTTGAATATAAGTTTGTTTAAATTATGCTTAATTCTATGAAATTATTAATTATTAAAAACTAAAATATTCAATCAAAATAATTCTTATTATAAATATTCTGTTTTAAAACACACAATATTATCGGTTGCATAACATTAGAAATAATGAGTTTTGTCACAAATGTTTAACAATAATAATTTAGTTTTAATTTAGTAAACTAAAGTATTTATATTAATGCAATTAAAATATAATTATTGATTTAATTTTTTTAATATAAACTAAATGTTATCATAATGTAATTAA